GCCTGGCTGCCGAGTTGGAACACCCGGATAGACGAACACACACAAACACAAACATACACACACACATACATACACACACAGACAGGTTCGTCGCAATATTCGTTTTTGCAAATTGCATATAGGCAAAAACGCATAAAAATGAGGGTTACAAATTTTAGACATTAATGCACTATTTCATTTAATTAAGATCTCACTTGTGATGAACTTAGATGGAACGAATCTGATTTCTCACCAATTTTGCACAGAAAACATTGCAGAGGTCCATACCGGTGCGCCGAGTGAAATTTCTTTTGCGTTTACTTCGCGAACGATTGGAAGTTGATCCAGACAGAGACAAGCTTTTATTCAAGCACATGTGCTATGAGATGGAGAAACTACACAATGGCGACGATGTTTCTTTCCATGATGTTTTGTAGTACGCGCACAAATTCATTGCTTACCGATGTCTCTAAACTTAAAAAACTTTTCTATTTTCCCTTTAATATACAGCAGTTTATAACAGGAGTTAGGAAAATCCCCATCCTACTCAACAACGAAATCAGCTCGTCTTTAAAATCAACCATCCTATTTAATTTTAAGGCAGCTTTCAAACAATCAATGTTAGTAAACTTCAGAACGTCAATTTGCTACGTACAATGCAGCAGACTGACCGTCTAATGTTTTTTCATGCTGATGGTTTTTTTGATAAGGAGCCATTTTTATTTTATCTTGTAAAATAGAAAACCTCTGTGGAATGTGATTTATTGTTTCTGCTTTGATGACCTAAAAATATTTTACTCTGTTCTAGCATGCTTTCATATCGCAGCGTGGACATACGGAAGTCATTACAACTTGAAGAGCTTCTCGAAAGAGAGGAACTTGAATACATTATTGAAGAGGAGGTGGCCAAACAGACAATCAAAACATGGCTAGAAGCCTGCATGCGACGAATACGAAGCCCATCACAGGTTTCATGAAAACTTATTACTAAAACATTCCCAGGTCAAGCATGAGTCGCGAATTATCCCCAGCTCATATTGCTGTGGTTTACTGAGAGGCTTCAAGATCTGGGACATCGGGCTGGATCTGCGGGCAGAAACGTTAGAAAACCACACTTTTTATGCGTTTTTGCATATACACAAATTGCAAAAACGCATATTTGCAAGAGACTGTGTGTGTGTCTGTGTGTA